AAAATAAAGTTGTTTCAAATAAAGCAACTTAAACTCAAGTGTGATGTAATAGTACTGTTTGTAACTATTCGGATCTCAAAATCAAATTTTGGAGTCCCTAATAGTACTAAAAGAATATGCTATAGATAAGGGTGCCATAAGCCATAGAAGGGCACCAATTAGTTGAACTTCTTTGCTTTCTTTCTGTTTTTCTCCCACTCCCATTGCAATATATTTCAAAGTTTGAAGTTTGAAGAATAAGAGCACAGCTCCTTTGTGGATATCTTTGTAAGTGCTTTTATTTATTTATTTGTTTTAGTTCATTCATAATGACAGGCTACTAACCCTGGTGGTTGGGATAAGATGATGTAATTACTTGGATATACATAGTTGTGATCCTGATGAAGGTAGGGTAATTTATTAATTAAATGAAATTTTTCCGGGGGTAAGAGTGATTAAGACTGACCATGATTTTTTATAAGTAGGGTTAGCCTGATTTAAAGCCAGGTGAAAGGGATGTCAAGGGCATTCGTCCTAATTTACTTATATAAAATCAAAGAAATCTTAAACCAAATAGGGAAGATTACAGAATAATTAAGTCCATCATCATTGATTTTATATAAGTAAATTGTGATCAATATCCATAACACGCCTTCCATATAGCTTTAAATCGGGCTAACCCTACTTATAAAAAATTATGGCCGGGCTTAATCACTTACCCCTGGCAAAATTTCACTTAATTAGTAAAATACCCTACCTTCATCAGCATCACAACTATGTATATCCATGTAATAACATTATCTTATCCCAACCACCAGTTTTATTAGCCTGTCATTATAAATGAACTAAAACAAATTGAGACTGGCCATGATTAAGAGATAAGAATTGAGGGAATGAAGAGGTTTTTGTAGGTACAGAGATAAGAATTGAGGGAATTAAGTGTTCTTGTTGTTCAAGCAATGGCCAAAGATATCAAATGGATGAAATTCAGACACAACGATAATCAGAAGACTACTATGGAGCAACTACCGTGGCTACCACCTCCAAGAAACTGGATAAAAACTATTATATATGGGGCACGAGAGTCATGATCATGAAGCAGAGCAAGGGAAATGAGGGAGTATTAAACAATTATTTGAGCATGGATCTTGGGATTCATCAGGAACATTGGTATATATATTGCAGGATTTTCAAAGACAAACTCAGGGGCATACGATGGCGGCTAAGATTGCAGGATTTTCAAAGGTCCAGTTGGAGATGGACAGTGGAGAAGCTGTCCAGCTGTTCTTATTCGACACCAAACAGGACATTTTTCAATATGGGTACTCATGGAAGCTCAGAAATATATTTAAACATTATTAGCGCAGTTTCAGATTTTTTGCATGTAGAAAAGAGTTACATTGGATTAGACTTTGTTGTGTGGAGGTCTTTATGGCTCGAGAAGAATGGAATTGCTTGGTGTTTTTGATAAGAATTTTAAGCAGCACTCCCATGAAAGTCTTTGTTATTTTCTTTCATTTTATGCAAAGCTTGATAATTTCCACATTGGATGTGGTTTGGGGCGATGAACAAAAAGGGCCAAGTTTAGCAAACAACCACGTTTTTCATCCCAAAAACCCTAAGGTCATAGGATTCCAGTAAGATTCCAAATATTGGGGGTAATCTCACTAGTCATAAAAGTCTCTTTCAATTTCACCGCATCGATGGCAAGCCCATTGTTCATCCTGTGATGACTTACTCTCTCGGCAGTTGTGAGGAGTACTCCTTAATAGACTTCTTTCCAGATTATGTAACAATCAGTGTGGACCATTGAACTTATTGACACCATCATCACAACCAGCAGAGAAGTTCAAAATAAACTTGCAATTTGTCTTCAAGAATTTCTCTTCATCCAAGAAGAGCAATATTAAGAAAATGGCGATTCATGTAGGTTATACATCGTATCTACATAGATATCTTATCATTTCGATTTTGTCAAATATATAGTTCTCTAAAAAGTAACTAAATTTGTGTTCATCTCATCTTATATTATTTTGATACATATTGCAAAAGATTGTGCTTGCATAATTTCCCTGCCCAATTCCAATACAATGTTTCCAACACACTATGTCAATGGGAATGACAACGATAAGTAAATGTTCCAAAATGCAACACATCAAATAGATATAAGATAAGGTCAAAAGAAAGAAGCAACTTTTTTTAATAAATAAATAAATAAAATCAAGGAGCAGGAGGAGATTTGGTAGACACACCAAACGTTGCAATTCTTTCCTTGTAATTACTTATGTGTTGTAATTATGGAGACGCCTTAAGAAAGCCTGATAATCCTCTTGATTGCCTAACCTGTTCTTCACTTTTTTCATAAAAAGAGAACTTTTTGCAATTTATGCCTGGAAATATATGAAAGAACATCAGTGTAAATGTTTATAAGTCTGATCCACCTCCAGTAATAGATATTGAATCCAAATAAACTTTATCCAGCAACTTCCCATGCGTTTTCCAGCCATAGCAAGCTGTCATGTCTATTCCCCTTTTAACAATTCCACAATGTCAAGTTATTATGATGACTTAATCTAAGATCTTAACAAATTGGAGAGAGCATGATATCTCTACCGAAACATAAAAGCCTTAACCTGGTAATACGAAAAAGAGAAACCATCATTCACTCACTCTTTAAGGAGTCATTATCATCATAAGAAGCTAAAACTGTAGCTCCTTCAAAATCTTCTATCTTATGCGCGATTTTTTTTTTGTCGTACTCGGATCCTATCTGTACTGTTCCTATCAACTCGCAATCGATCAGTAATTTCAACTCGCATCAAACTTACCAGGACAATGACACATTAATTCCGATTGACTATGGGAACGGGAGCCGACAACGACAGGGTGCAAAGATGACGAACCCATGATAGTTGACCCCATCATCGAATTTGTTTCAACAAAATTTTTAATAGGTTGTTTCTTGATTCTGTTTCGGCATAATAAAACAAACAACTCCTCAATTATTTTTCTTTCACTCCATCTTTAGACCATTTTCCTCATGGTAAGTGAGGAATGGAGCTATTCTCCTTGCTACCATCCCCTTTTTGCAGCACGTTTCCTCCATTTCTTTCATCTTATTGATGGAGGGATTAAATAATCTGCTTTTATCTTTATCAGATTGAATTTTAGTTCTATGTGAATTGATGGAGGGATTAAATAATCTGCTTTTATCTTTATCAGATTGTTAAAAACCAGACTGTGAAAAGATCTGGGGAGTGGAAATCTAAAGCCAGTGGAATGGGGTCTAAAAACCTATGACCAAGTTCTATAAAATTATTGATCGGTCTGTTTTAGAAGGAATTGTAAGTGTTAATTTATTGATTCCAAGTTTTTCCCAAATTGTTTATAAAATCCATATTGTTATATGAAACCTATGTTTACGTATGTCAGCAGATTCCATCAGCTTTTATGTATAAACATGGGCATAAACTTGGTGAGATGGTTACTATGAAAGACTTCTGGGGTGGTAATTGGAAGGTTACCTTACGCCATACAGATACGGAAACTAAATTAATTGGCCAAGATTTGAAGAAATCTGAACAGGAGAGAGGAATTGCTATAAACTATATATTTGTTTTTACAATGAAGGACAATGCCAAGTTGAGGTTGGTATATTTGATGACACTGCCATAGAAGTAGAATAAAGTGATAAATGTAATGGCCGATGCCAAGATGAAGATAAAGGTAATGTGATTAATCAATTTTGTGCATTTTTTTCTGTGATTATGAATTAAAAAATATCACATGTTGAGTATTTGGTTGTAGTTTTCCTTTAATAATGGTTGAGAAGGTCTAATTATGAATGTTGTTTTCAGAACCAGGGTCTGAAGAAGAGGAAGCTTTTCCGTGGTTCGAGTTTACAGTCAGGAAGAGCATACTCAATTGGCCATTTCAACTGGTTAGTAAAAGAAATTTGTGGGTATTGTTACATGTTTCATATTTATACTGTTACATGGATCCCTTATTTGTGGGAATTGTTGTTGGATTTTTGTAGCATGTATCGGCTGCGTTTGTCAAAATTCATCTAGCCGGTGGGAGGAAGGAGATACCAAAATTGTGATACAAGATGCTCAATCTGAAAAAGAATAGAGTTTTGTGCTGGATGTTCAAGGGAATCTTGTAAAGATTTCTGGCATTGGAAAGAGTTGGTGCTACAAATGGACATTGGCACGGGTAATTTATGCACAATGGAATGGGTCATAGGGGATAACTTGTTTTATTTCCACATCATGGAAAGCAACCGTGTGTAACTTTAGGGATTTATGGTTTTTGTGAATGGTTCTTATCAGTAGTTGGACATTATGGTTGTATTATAGTACTGTTGAGTTTCGACTATGTCCTATGTCTTTTGTACGTAGGCACACATTAATTTTTGTACCTCAGGATAAATATTAATATGACAATTATAAAGGACAAAAGAGGGTAGTTTCCAAAATATCCATGGATTTATCATTAGCCTTTTAATTATAATTATGGTTGCAAATGCGTGTTTATTTGTCATGAATAGGGAGAACTCAATTTCATAAGTTGCATAGTTAAGGATGTAATTTTAGAATCTGATAAACCCTAATCCCATTTTTTCTGTTGAACGACCCTTATGCGACTTCCATTCAATAAAAGAACCTTGACACCGTTTTCACGAACCCTGATTCCGCTTTAGTTGGGCTTTTAAAATAGTGTATGGTAAAAAGGACGTCGTTTCAGTTATTACTTCAAAAACCAAAGGACTAAAAACCACTACATTTCAAGAACACAACAATTCAAGAACACAACATACTTTTAAAAATCCAAAACCTTCAAATATCTAAGGTACATAACACATTGTTCAAAAACTAAATTAACCAAAAATAAAGCATCCATCAACAATTACATGTCTTCCCAGTTTTTCCTTTTCTTAAAAAAAAAATTACATGACATTCAACCAAGAGTGGCAGAGCAGGTGCCCTAGAGACCTTGGATTTCATCGAAACTTTTGATGGCTATACACCTGTGAAGTTTCCTCCCAACAATCTAGTGGACGCGTAATCATCTTCTTGAGCAACCCAGGCATATAGGGAATCATTGTGAGTAACAGACCCTTCCCAATCCTGCTTCCCATGGTGATCATTCTTATAAGCCTGATGAAATGCAAGAGCATCTCATTCTTAATCCATCAAAACCACTTCTAAAATGAACAATACATATTCCCGAGTGGCCAGTTTCATCATCCCACAGTGGCTCCACTTTTGTCGGATTAAAACCTTCAAGCAAATACTTTTCATGCAGAACCCTGCCACTTCTAAATAAAGCATCCGTCAACATTACATGTCTTCCCAGTTTTTCCTTTTTTTAAAAAAAAAAATTACATGACATTCAACCAAGAGTGGCAGAGCAGGTGTCCTAGAGACCTTGGATTTCATCGAAACTTTTGATACCTGCACACCTGTGAAGTTTCCTCCCAACAATGCAGTGGACGCGTAATCATCTTCTTGAGCAACCCAGGCATATAGGGAATCATTGTGAGTAACAGACCCTTCCCAATCCTGCTTCCCATGGTGATCATTCTTATAAGCCTGATGAAATGCAAGAGCATCTCTTAATCCATCAAAACCACTTCTAAAATGAAAAATACACATTCCCAAGTGGCCAGTTTCATCATCCCACAGTGGCTCCACTTTTGTCGGATTAAAACCTTCAAACAAATACTTTTCATGCAGAACCCTGCCACTATGTCCAACAAACTTCCCACAATTGAGTTTTCGAGACAGGTTAACAACAATAGTCATTGGAGGGTAAACAAAGCGGTCCTGTGGATTGTGAGATTGAAGGGGATCCACCACTACTTCTGCATGAGGAACTGCCGGTAATGGTATTTCAGCGCGATCATCTGCACGAGGGACGGGTGCGAGATCATCTTGTAAATATCTTGCCAATGCAAGATGATTCGCTCGCTTTTGCATAGAGTTTTTCCCCGAACAACCCGCCCCATTCGCATGCTGTAGAAGGTCAACATAGTCAAACTTGCTCTTTTTTTTTACCTTTACAAAAAAAGACAAGTAAATTTGTTCCCATGAACTGGAACTTCCTGACCTCCATTTCTCAAAGAATTATACAAACTATCTATCCGTTCATCAAGCTCTGACTCACTGAAATCACTATCATCTTCGGAGCTGGAGTGCGTCCTTTTTGACATCTAAAAAGAAAATATTTGTTTAAGTGCTCATAACCCCCCAAAAAACAAAGGTATGAAACAAACATGAAGATCCCTTTCTCCCTTTTAAAAATTACCTCATCTATATGAAAAAGGACATGATAGTCCCTTTATCGCTGAATATTTGACTTACAATGAAATTCGGTCCAAAACCTAATGAGGTGGTTTCAGGTTTCATCTACATTCCTGACAGTTACATTACAATATACAATCTTGACCTTCCTTATATTTGGCAATAAACTACATTCCAAATAATTAATAATAATAAGACAACTATAGTTACTTGATTAACAGTAACAATCTCCATTCCATATAGTTAAAATGTCATTCCACATAATCAGAATAATGAATAAGACAACTACGTTTTAAAAAATAGTTTGTTTTACTAATTTGATTAACATTACTAAATTAATATACGAACCGAGCAACTGCTAAGTATGATACTATAAATATAGATCTTTTTATTCCATCAAAAAATGCACTACCAGATCTCCTACATCTCTTAAATCGACAATAATTTTTTAAATCCTAAACACCAACGTGGAAAATAATTTGAGTATATAGTTCGATTTAATGAAATATTCGAATGCATAGTAATTATCGGGACCACAACATGTTACTATAACTGGAGAACAGAATTGTCCCAGATCTACGGTAAAAAAATGCATAGAAACAAAAGTGAGAAGGAGAAGAAAGGGATTTTTGCAAGTACCTTAATAGAATTAGGGTTTCTGGCCAGATTTGGAAAATGATAGTTGGAGATGCATCCTAGAAGGTTGACCTAAATTGACAAACAATCAGAAAAAGGCAAATAATGATCCTTTTATATTATATCCTCTAATTTATTGTGTGGTGGGAGATGAAGCGGACGGACAAATTAGATGAACCTTTTCACTTAAAAAAAGAAAAGAAAAATAAAACTATAAAAAAAAATAACTGCACCTTTCATATTGGACTATTGGGATTTGGGAGACTAAAATGTACAGTTGTACACCACTTTGGTTACATGACCTCTCATTTGGAAGGAATTATTTGCATGCTCATATATTTGTAGGTAAATCCCATTATCATTTCTGGCTTCTTGAAACAAAAAGAAAACATCCTCCATCCAAACAACATTTCCAGTCACATTTTAAATCACACGTCAAACAAATAACTAGTAACTGGTTGTCCACATAACTAAATAAAAAATTTAAATACTCCCGAGAAGTAAGAAATATTCAGTACGATCATCCCAACCATATTACTAGATGCTGATGAAGAAAGCAAAACCAATGTTCAAATTACAGCCATCATGTGTGAAACAGTACAATCATTCCAAGCATATGGCTACAAGCTGTTGAAGAAATCAAAAGTAATGTTCCAATGTCTCTTCCACTTCAGAGTTTGGCCATTCTGAATACAACCAGCTTACTATTTGACATATTAGATGCTATGTCAAGAGTTAAACGTACGGGCTGGTCCTCTTGGATCAGGTTGTCTTCAAAGAACTTCTTCCTGTTCCTTGATAATTCTTTCTGAACTGTAGAACCATGGTTATCAGATGTGGTTGTTATCCGAAATTCCGCTGCTTCCACTGGACCTTCAACCCCGACAGCTTCTTTTGTGCGTGGCGGCACACAAATTTGACAGGAATATTCTGCACTCACCATCCGTGGATTATATATTGTGTCACAACTCACAACTATGATCGTTACATAAACAAAAACAAAAACAAGACTCATCATTTGATATCTGGCCTTGCGTGACCGACCAACACCCAGTTTGAAGCTATTTTTAGGATTTTCTCCAAGTTTTGTCCCGAATTCTCTCCCCCTGAACTGATGTCATCTGCATGGGACTAGTCATGTCGTGCCTGATCTTCTTCCTCTACACGAATATCAATTGGAGAAGTTGTCGAGCTTCCTGGGCCCCCATGGGAGTTTTCGCCCACAACAACCTCCCCCTAAGTCTCTGGCTAAATCTTCTCGGACTGGGGATAGTAGGACCTAGATTCTCTTCACTGACCTTGCTATAGCGGCCCATTCTCTTTCGAGTAGGGGGCAGATTTGACACTATAACAAAATGAATTATAAACGCGTTAATAATTGTTTAACCATTATCAAGAAAATGAACATGGTCAACTGTAAATGATACAATAGGCGTACCGTTTCCATGGCGGACGATGTTTTGTTGGGGTCTTCATGGGGCTATGACTCTACCACCGGTGCAACGACAGAGTTCCCTACGTCCTCAGGTTGACCATTATTTTTTTTACCTTCTGTCAACATGAGAAAACAACTAATTTTTTAGTTTTTGTTTATCTATTAATTTTTTCAACAACTGATAACAATCACATTACATGTGCTTCTACACATTCATGTACGAGGTGTCCATTACAATTGCAAAATGAATATTTCATGCTTAACCGAGTACACTCCTCCCACTCTCCATGTTTAAACTCCCCATAACAGTGTTGACAAATCCATCCAGATACCGAACACTGATCCCAAAACCAATATAGTTCATAATCATCAGGAACTAAGTTTAGTGTCTCTACTGCTGGTTCATCAGGTGCAATAATGACCTTCAATGTTTCCTCATTCTGATCTTTTCTTTCATCCATGTCTAAATTCCCCGAGCAATCTGCTCGTGGTTCAAGAGCATTGTCTGTTGCATCATCATGCTCTTCGGCAGAAATTTCATTTTCTAACCAATGTGTCAACTGTTCTTGAGGGCATTGAGCTGTCCAATGACTGATCATTTGACAATATTCACATGGCAAAGCTTTTGCTTTTGGAACAACATTTTCAGCTTCTCCATCCACCGTAGTGGTCACTGGAACATCTTCACCTTCATCTTCATCAAGAATATGATATTTTCCTTTCCACCTAGTTCTGGACACCCGGATAACAGGAAAATCTTTACCATCATCTTCAACAAGAATCTGTATTTCTTTCTGTTTAGTTCTAGACACCAGGATACCAGGATCATTTTCATCTTCATCACGAAGCTAAAATTTTCCTTTCCCCTTACTTCTGGACACCAGGACCACAGGGTCATTTTTATCTCCATCAAGAACCTGCTTTTTTCCTTTGCGTTTAGTTTTGGACACCAGGATACCAATATAATTTTCATCTTCATCACAAAGCTGAAATTTTCCTTTCCCCTTACTTCTGGACACGAGGACCACGGGATCATTTTCATCTCCATCAGGAACCTGATTTTTTCTTTAAAGCTTAGTACTGGAGACCGGGCTAGGGGATTTATGCGCATTTTCTTCTTCATCGCGAAGCTGGAAATTTCCTTTACGTTTGTTAGTCCGCTTCTGCTTAGCACCCTTTTGAATTTGTTGTTGACCCTTACCATAGTGCCATAATGATGGGGACAAGACATCACGATTTGTACATAAAGATATTCTTCTACGCAATCACAATGCACTTTAGGTTTATACATAATAATCAGAGTATTAACATAAAGTTAAAGTTAAAACAAAAATACAGAAGTTTCATTTCAGTACCATTTCGCTAGGAGCTTAACCTATACGAAAGGTTACCTTGTCTTGCTTGGCTGCTTCCTTCTTCTTTTCAAGTTTTTTTTTTAGTGCTGGACAAGACTTTGGTTTGTGCCCCGTGCGTTTGTAGTATTCACATCGACTGTTCAGCAGTGCTTTCTTGCCTCTTCCCTTTTGCATGCCTACCCGTCTGTCAGTTATAAAGCCATTTAAACCAACACAATCGAAAACTCATAACCTTTTAAGAACATATACAAGTACAAAAAACTTACATCATCAGCCAAAGGTTTAACTGCAACCCGTTTGTGCGGTTTGCCCCGCTGTTTGGGTGCTGCTCGCTTCTGCCCAACTAAGGGTCTCTCACTCTCCATGCCATCATTCTACGTAACAATTCTAAACTTTCAATTATTATCACAAATAATGGTACATAAACACACAACACAGGTTGAATTAAGGAACAAAGTTTGGTAAAAAAAATACATTTCCACATGATAATTACCTGTTTTAAATCTGGGCAGCTTTTCCTTGTATGGCCCGTAACTGACAATCACCGCACTTACTGTGTCCCGCGCCCACCTTTCTACTGGCCTTTTACCAACCTTTTTAGTTCTTGTATACTTGGTGGGTTTCATCATGTCGCTTGTTCCTGCTGCCCTTCACTCTTCCTGGCATGGGTCTAAACTCTGGAGGCAACAAAAGTGGGTCAGATATTCGCTTCCAAAATTTAGGACCATTCATTCTCCAGATATTATTTGCATATGCTCTCAGGTACATCCTTTGAGTACCATCTGTCAACATAATCTTCCACCTTTCTCCCGTCATCAAGAATGCAACTTACTGAATGTGGGCATGTAATACCAGACAAATCTCACTTCCGGCAAGCACAACTCAGATCTCCCTCTCTAAGGCACACAACAATCTATTCATTTACTTTTTTTTTCTCATACTCACCATCACCACAATATTTTGCAACATAACAATTAGATTCTTCCCAGGATTCCGCGAAATGGGCTCTGATTTTATCACCAAATTCAAATGGTGACTTTTCAATCCGCTCCCTAGTTCGGCGGTATTTAACCATCAAGTATCGCCTCAACCACTCCAACAACATAATGATTAGTAATCTACGGGCTTTTACCAAAACACTGCTGAAGCCTTCACATATGTTGTTCACTAACGTGTCACACTTTCTCTCAGTCAAGAAATGTGACATGCATCAGTAACTTGCTCCTATTTCATGAAGATACCTCCATGCTCCTTTATGCTTCTTCTTTAAATCATCCATCACCTGGTTCCATTCCTCTTCAGTTGTTACTTTCGTAATACTCGTCAATCTGGCTTTCAATTTTAATCCGGGGTACTTTAGCTTGAAATTATTCCATAAGTGCTCCACACAATTTCTATGGGACACATTTTTCAGAAGTGTAGCAACAGCTGGAAAAAGACCCTGTTAAAACAATCTGTGAGGTCCGTTGCTACACACCCTATCAAAATATGACCTCAGACACTCCATGGTAATATCGGGTTCATCTATGAAGTCAAAATAATTAATGTTGCCACTAACATGATTCAGCTCTGACGTTATCTAAAAACTTCCCCCATGGTGGATCTTAGCAGTTATTTGCTTCGCCTCATCATCTATTAATCAACAATACTACATTCAATTCATCGAAATCCAAGATACACAGTAACTATAAATTAGGTTTACAACCTTTCATAATGCAACTAAATCAAATAACATAACCATGTGTAAAAAATACAGATTTATACATCAATCTACTTAAAGAAGCAAAATTCTTTAACTGGTTCGAAACATATCAATCGAGAAAAACTTACAGTAAAGTGAGATATCTGGTTGATCAGAGTTCATATCGCAAACCATTGGAGATCAATATCCATACCCCGCAACATACCTCCCATTCTTGAGTCTGAATTCATATTACGAACTGAAAGAGTTGATAGATTCCTTCACTTCATCTCGAACTCAAGTTTCTGATGGCAACCCTCGTTTGTCGATACGGTTGAAGTTCTCTCTCTCTTTTCTCTTGGAGTCAAAGACACGTTTCAACTTTATGACAACCAAGTTCAACCATCTACTACATGTGTTTTGATATACTCGTTTGTCTACGTGCACCATCCCTCACTAATCTTTCCGGAAAAATAAGAGATGACCAATATTAAAGAAAAGATAATTTTACCCCTCCACGTGCATACTACCTTACGTTACGGTTTCTTCTGACACAAAAATGGAAAGTACCCAAAAAATACTTTCTTTATCAATTGGGGTTGACTCGTTACGTTTTTAAAAATTGGGGAAAGACCGGAACAACCCGAAAACAACTGGGGGAGGGGGGGTTTCCTCAAACGAGGCCTTCAAATTTTTATGCTTTTCTGAACATCTTTAAGGTATGTCCAGCAAAATAACAGATTTTGTAAATCACCAGTGTTCAACAAAACTTGAACCACAAATCATGTGTAAGTGCATATGGATTCTCCTGGATGTTAGAGAAAATATTATCTCGATTTCTAAAGAAATAGTTCACATTGAATTTTTATATTTATACTATTTTCATATTTTCAATACAAATTCAAAAGTCCAATGTGTTTTTTTTTTTTTTTTAGGACAAAGGGAGTACAATGTTATAAAACAAATATACATACACATATTACTCATTTTTCTAACACTTTTATCGGGTCAATTTAGTCTTTTCAATTAACAAGAAATATTCCTACATTACAAATGTACGGGGACATTGCTAAGAGGGCCTTTTCGTATATTCACAAATGAAAAAAAAAAGAAAGAAGAAAAGACTAGTAATTTTGTCAAAACAAAAATTAACATCCAAAGGAAAAATATGATCTAATACCAAAATTGCTCATTATCATATTAAAAACAATTTTTTTTTTCTCATTTCGGCTTCAATGATCCAAAAGCAACCTCAGATTTATAATCAAATGCAGACGATCCACACCTTTCTGAAGTTTTACAAAAGGAAAAAAAACACACACACACAGAGAAAAAGCTTTATCCCTATTCTGAATTTCTTCTAACATGCTCAAAACTTCAAATCTCATATCTCCTAAACTGGCCGTTTATCATATAGGCATAATTTTGAAGTACAAATTAGCATAAACAAAAAATCAATTTGAAATAATTGAGAAAAAAAGTTAAAGTTTTGAATTAAATCGTGTTCTATTTTGATTTTAACATCCAACATGGAAAGAAAAGAAGAAAAGCAAGCAAATCTCTTCTTTGTCTAGCTTGACCACATCGTGAATCAGTTGATGGTGTTGCGGTTGGCCGATGATATTTTCATCACCATAACTAGAGAATCGTGAAAAATATGATAGAATTAGGTTGTTTAATTATTGAGGGTATTTTATTAAAAGATGTTGTGGATGCAAATTTTTGTTTTTGGTAAAATCATCACCCAAAAAAAAATTGAAATAATGAATGGGATAGATAGAAACAAGGGGGTGTGTGACGGACCCACGGCCTGAAAAGACCCAATGAAGTTAAAACGCAGCCTGAAAGAGGAAACCAAGACAGAGAGAAATTCAAAAGCGGGAGTGATTCACTGGAATTAGAAGAGTAATAAGGCAAAGCCATGCAAGAGTATTATTCCATGGAAAACTGCGAACCAAATATTGCCGTTTCGGTCTAAACGCCACTTGTTATCAACCCACAGACAAAAACCACCAATTCACGCCTTCCCCTTCTCTTTCTCTCTTTCTTTTTCTCCATTTAGTAACCCCCAATTCTTCTCTTAGTCAAATTTTCTCAAGACCCTTTTCAAATTTCACTCTGTTTCCCCTGTTCTTCACTCCTCTTTCTGTTTGTTTGAAGGTGAAGTTTTTTTTTTTCCCCCCTTTTTAATTTTCAGTTAGAAAAAAAAAGATGAAAAACCCATGATTCTTTTCTTTTGTTACATGCATGTGCATATATGTATCATTTTATTGGGTCCTTTTAATTTGTTGAGCCCTTTTGTGTGTCTGTGCATTGCAGGGCAGGTTGAGAGTTCTTGATGGGTCGAGGGAAAATTGAGATACGGAAGATTGAGGATGTCAACAGCAGGCAAGTGACTTTCTCGAAGAGGCGAACTGGGCTTTTGAAGAAGGCGTTTGAACTTAGCGTGCTCTGTGACGCCCAAGTCGCTGTCATCATTTTTTCCAATACTGGAAAGTTGTTTGAGTTTGCCAGTTCCAGGTATGAGTAGAATTTTTTTTTTTTCTTGAGTTGTTTTGGTCGATTTTTACCCTTGGTGTTGTTGCATGGTAGATAAAAGTTGTTTCCTGATCGGTTTTAAGAGTTGGTTTTATTAATTCATAATGGCATTCATACATTGGCATTCTTTATGGATATATTCTTTCGAAGTTTCAAATGTTCTGTTCTTGATGAGCTTTCTAGCTGTGCGGGTTTAAATGAGGAAAAAGGGAAATTGCCAGCTCAACCTTCCAATGAGCCCCTGATTTATGCAATCTAGTGTGAAATGGTGAATTGGAACACAGATAGTTTTGAATGATGTGGTTGCTCCCTCAAAATTACACCTTACTACTTACAACTCACACAATGCAATTGACTTATATAAGGGTTTCCTTTGATTTCCGTTTCTTGGTGTGGCAGGCTGAATTGCTTTGATTTATTCCTCCAAACACTAGTGTTCCTTCCAGTCTTTAACCGGCTCTCTCTTTATCAAATCAAGAATAGCAAATAGGCCAATACTAATTTGAGGACTTCCTAATATACAAAGTACTCTACTGGCTGCCAAAATGTGATTCCTGGCAAATAGTTGCCCTTTGTTACATTTTACCATGCAAAATTTGATTTAATAGTGATGAAAAAAGATTAAAAGATAGAAGATGGTTATCATGTAGCGTTTGACTTTCAGTCCATCATTATGTTGAATGTGGTTTCACTCGCCGTCATTTGTTTCTGTTTTGAAATTGGCAACCTGACTACTGTAGCACACTAATACAGTTTTCAGTCTCAGCAAAACTTACCTGCTTTGCACATCTAAATTGCTTTTTATCATTTTTAGTCAAGAGCTTAAAGTTCAGTCTTTCTATTTGTTACGAGGAACCTGATTTCTAGTCTAATTTTGAGATGCTGCCTTTAGTATGCTATTAAATGATGTACACGTGTTATTTTCTTTTTGTACAAATAACATGTTTGTTTGCCGCTTAATGTTCTCTTTTGAGCATGGATGAAGGGTCCACCTTGTTTCCTGTTATGCCTTAACACTAATAACATAATCCTCATTGGCTTTCGTGTACTTTGTGACGTGGTCCTTTTCGTTACATTTAGTCAATGAAAGTGGTAAATTTTTTATCTCAAAGGTCTGACTTCTTGTGGTGCCATCCATACAAATGAATTTTTTGTTTGGACCTGCATATGTGGCTTATTGATATATTTGCACACAGTAGATTAACTAAGCGAAAGGCTTCTCAAGAATTTCTTCTAATGGAAGGATAATGTCTGCCAGCTGTTCTTGTAGTGTTTCGTCGGCAAGTATGAGTGACCGACACTTACAGTTTTGCTATTGTGTGCCTTGTTGTGATAACTGTTACTTGTCACTATATGTATAGCAATTATGATATTTTCACATAGTTTGTGTGATCAGCTCTCAAATTGATGCGTGGAGTTCAAATTTTGATACACACTTTTCTGTAGCAAATTGTACTGACACCTATACTTTCAGTCAGTTTCCTATAACTGAACTCATATGGAGTTTTACTGTACCGATGCAAATATCCCTTAGGATTTGATCCATCACTGATATAGTAAATAACCTATTTGACGAATTGGTTGAAATTGTTGATTACATTCCATTCATTTATGCGATGCTAATGCTTGTATCAGATGTTGGTCTATCCAATTGTATTCCTTTGGGTAGTCTTTAATTAGTTTTTAGTTGTAGACACAACATGATTAAGGGGTTTATTAGCTTGACCCGACGACAGAATTATGCCTGACCTAAAATTCTCCAATCATAAATTCTGTTTCCCAAAGCAAACTTAACCTGGGTAGTTTGAATTTTTTCTTCATATTTAGGTTGAGTCCCCATGCTTTTCAAATGGCATTTTTCAGTGATTCCAATCATGCGGAGTTCACATTATAATTTCATTGTGAATGGTTCGCCTGATATCTATTGCCCATTTTTTTGAAATCTTTCAAATAGTTCGCCTGGGTATATTACTTGCAGTTTGATTCTTTTTCTTATGTGAGTTGAAAAATGCTGCATGGTAAAGTTAGTACCTTGAAGGTGTTTTACTGACTGCTATATACAAGTGCAAAGGGGTTTTTGTTTCAAAATCTGAGTTTTTGGCTAGATTGGCTCGGTAATACACGATAATAGTTTGTTTGATGTCATTACTGATGCTTTTGTTACAGTTCTTACATCTGTCGGACTTGCATACTATGGAAAACTTTTCGAACTGAGTTAACATCATTATCCAAATGCATCTTCTTAAATCATTATTTGAAATGCATATTGACATTATATGATTGTTATGTTGAAGATAAACTACGAAAGAATCACTCTTTTCATTGTGGCACTGTTTGTTTTGCCATGTTGCTTTTTACCTTTTAGCTTAATTGTGTCAGTTTAAGTTGATTGAAGTCTTTATTCAAATATAACCAGGTTAACTGGTTGATGTCTTTTTGTGTCGTAAAGAGATATTATGGATCGAAAGTCTTCTATTGTTTACGTTAATTAGTTCAATTCCTGCAATTGTATGAAATAACTTGCTTTTCACATGAAATATCTGTAGGGCTCCTATGCCATATGCTCAAAATCAAAATCATTCATATGCCCCTGTTTCTTTCCACAAGAGTATAAATACTTTTCTTCTGAAATTTATAGTTGTTTTTTGTTGCCTTTGCAGCATGCCCCAAATACTTTCAAGATACAATAAAGGCTTGGAGACTACTAATAATACCAGTGCTAATGTCATTAAGCCAGAGGTACCCCTATGAACCCTTTTCTTTTATATTTACTATTTGATCTTCCGAATGTCAGGAAACTTTAAACTAAAGTACTCATTGCGACCTTCATAAACAAAGAAGGAACAGATACAAATGTCAAGCAGACTCATTGCCCACCTCTTTGCTGCGGTAGTAACTTATAATGTAGCTGGGATCAGATAGTCTCTGCCTATATCCATCTACTTATCATTTGAAGAATCTTCTAATCTTTCTAATGAATGACCCCTAGAAACTCTCAAAAGAGAGAAAAGGAGAAATTTTTGAAAACTAATGATTCTAGGACTATCACCCCTGGCCTTCAGCAGACTACTTTGAACCCTGGTTGTATTTCCAGGTAAGTAATCATATCAGCTAAATAGCTAGCAGCTTTTATGCTAAGAACCCTTAAAAGATTTACCATTTGATTACTTTATCATAAATATCTTTTTTCCCAAAACTACTACATACTCTCTAGCAGAAGAAAAGAAGCAAGATTCTTTTGCCAATAACTTAATGGGCTGGTGGGTCTAACATTTGCCAATAACTCCTCGCTACTCATATCCATTTTCCTATTGATCTCAATTTTTGATGATGGTTTAATTGTCCGTTTGTGATGATTCTTTATGGGTTTTTTTTTTTTAATAGTCATGATGTCAATCAGTTAAAGGGAAGCAAGTAATTATTATAATGGAGGAAGTAGAAGATAAGAAAAACTTCACATTACAGCTTTTAAGGAGTAGATTTTTCATTAAGGTGCAGTTTAGAGACACCACCGTTATAGGGAACCATTATGTTTTGAAGAATTCAGTTATGCATAAAGTATGGAATTCTTCCTATCGTAGCATATTCATTGCTATCTTGTAAAAAACTTATAAAAAACTGAATAAGGAGTGTTTATAAGAGTCAAATGCTTTTTGGCAGTATTTTAGTTATACCATGCATGGTTGTTGGTTTTAAGACTTCCACGATTTTATGTTTTGCAGGAAGTGAAGGAACATGGTCTTACAAAGGATCTGAAGAGGCTGCAAATGAAACAATCGTATGTGTTTGATTATCTCAGCAATCGCTTACTAGATTGTATCATTTGCTAGATTGACGTGTTGTACTTGCTAGATTGTCGCAAAATAATCACAGTTTTTTTTTTTTTTTTGTGTATTGAAATTACAGACAGCTATTGGGCAAGGACCTTACTGGTTTGGGTCTCAAAGAATTGAAGGAACTGGAACAGCAATTGAATGAAAGCCTAATTGCAATAAAGGAGAGAAAGGTTGATTTTTAAAGTGCCAGGGTATTTTGTGTATTTCACAGCTTCAGTAATGTTCTTTCTTCACCTTTTTTGATGTAACACTCCATTCTAATTCCAGGAGCAGATAATTGCTGAACAATTAGAATTGTCAAGGATCCAGGTATTCAAAACTTTAAATAGTTTCATTAGTGTATCATGGTAATATCGTGGCCGTTTCTTTTTCCTTCAGGCTGGGTATAAGCTGCATTTTCAAAGAATAAAGCATTGTGTCTAATGTTTTTGGCAACCAGAATGAAATTATATCATTACTTCTTATTTATGTCGTGAATTCTTTGTATAGGAACAGCGTGCACTGGAAGAGAACAAGAGTCTGCGCTTACAGGCAAAAGAGTTTTCATTGATTCAGTAACTTAAGATTCATGAATTTGAGTTTTGCTTAATATGTTATTAATAGTTGGTGCAATGCAGATCGCGGAGCTTAAACCTTCGCTTCAATCATCTGGTTGTCCAGCTCCAGTTCATGTTGAAAACCATCTAGCAGATAAGAAAGACATCTCAGCTAACGCAAATCTGCACAGAAAACAGGATTATTCAATTGAGAATCAAGATACCAACTTGTGTTTGGGGTATGTCTTGAACTGAGTTCTTCAATGATTTACTTGTTCGCACTGCTCTTTTTCTTGGCAGGAGATGTGCTTATTGCTGATACCTAGACTTCCAAAAATAATAAAAATAAATAAATAAAAAAAAATTCCTAGACTGCTTCGCTCGTTTATCATTTATGACACAGTAGATTCTAATGTTGATGGAACCAAACCTCTTCCACTCTATGAAGGATATCTTAGGCCGTAGAGGAATATTGGTCTAACTGAACTTGGTATCGAACTTAGTGTTGTATTCGATGTTCTCATAATAATTCTCTGGTTAAATTTAATATTGATCATTTCTGGTACTCATTTCAGATTATCAATACCTACTAACACAAAGAGGAAGCCGACTGAGGCAGCTGAAGACAACCTTGTGGGGGCTCAAAAGAGGAAAAAGAGAACTTGTTGAGCAGTGATGTGTATCAGACTAATCTGGTGTTTTGCTTGTGGGAGGATGGGAACGGAGGCAATTAGATGTTTAGAGATCCATATATTGTTATTTCTGTAGCTTTTTGTGTCGGAGTTTCAATTTTGTCTGCGGACAACCGGGATGAATCTTCTTCGGTAATATATGCAGCATCAACTTTTTGAGACAGTTCCTTTCTTATGCGTTCTGTTCCATTCCCTTCATTTTTGCGTGGAAAAGAAAGGCTTAAATCTCTCATTCGTGTATCCCTTTTAATTGGGGGAAGGAAAACTTCACTACTTTCTATTGAGTTGTGTCCATCATATATGGTTATCCAATTAAAAAAAAAATTAGAGAAATGATCCTTGTTGTGAAGATCACTGCAGACTGTATAATGATTGGCTGATTGGGTGTTCGCTGATCATGATGGTTAATGTAATCGGGAATGATCAATGTGTCTCTAGAATTTAGTAAATAAACGAAAATGAGTGCTATCATCAGAACATTTTAGATGGGTTTAGAGGACAAAAGTGTCCATTGTGAAACCGTAGGATTGAACAACTTAACAGAAATTCACTGCAAACCTTCGTTTGTATGAAATATATTTTACAGAAATTTTACAAGAATCTGTACAAACGTAACTTCTTTGGATTTTTGTACAAACTATATATTACACAATCTATCCTGTCATTTGTGCCTTATGGTGTCCAGAATTTTACTCCTTGCTGCAAGAACTTCTGAGAACATGCGGTCTGTTTGCTGCGCAATCCTCTCCAATATTTTCTCCAGAACCTCCAGTTTCCGGCCGAGTTTTTCAGCAGCAGGATCGCCTTTGCCCCGGCCTATTTCAGCAACTAGCTCGGCAGCTGCATCGTTAACCTCCTTCACTTCCTTCACAGTATTCTTTTTCTGTTTGATCTCTTGATCAAGCAGGAATTCAAGGCTCTGCAATGAAGGCTCCTGCAGTTTACCAGCTAAATTTCTTGCCTCAAGATATGGCTTTACATCACTGCATAACCCTGAAATCATAATCCCGAGTAGGCGTAACGCGCTGCCGATCATAATACCTGAAGCTTCATGAATGATTGATTCCTTCTGACAGATGACCTTAGCTTCAGCTTCTTCATCAGGCTGCACCGTTTTTACACCCTCAACTTTGAATCCGTTTCCAGGATCTTTCGGTTTGATCCCCTGAAGATGGTTCTTCAGAGCCAGCGAAGGCGAATTCGCTATCACGAGACCTAATCCATGAGCCAAACCAACCCTGCCCTGGCTCAAATGTGAAACAGAGGAGCTTATCTTGTTGAGCAACTCCATCACATTCAAGCTGTACTTAAGATATGCATCAGAAGCTGATTGTTCCCACTTGATCATTGGGTAATCTAAATCCACAGCTAACTTAGCGAAAGCCCTTTCGATCATCGGTAGCTTCTCCAAACATTGTTGAATCCATTCCAGGGACAGGAAACTTGATCCCAGCTTATTAGCCTCTGCCAAGATTTGGCCTAAAGTTTTCGATACTTCGGATTGAAAAGCCTGAAATGAAGCCATTAAGGCCTCTTCAGAATCATGATTGTTGGCGGGATGGCTATGATTATCCAGCCTGTGATGAAACTTGAGGGATCTGCCAAGCTTTTGTACCAAGATTACCATTTAAGGGAATTGGGAAGAGGAAGAAGAAGAAATGCAAAAGTGTGAAGGGAAATAAAAGTGACCGAGTAAATAGTATTTAGCTTGCTTTATACTTTTTGTTATGCACAGAATAAAGCAAGTGGCTCTAATAGTATACTAATTTTTAGTATTTTATTTCATTTATTTATTCAAATTAGACAAATGTCAATGTTATCTGGTTCTTAGCTAATAAGATTGGGGAAAAACCAGCAACGGAGAAGAATTTGTTCTAAAATTCAATACTGAGAGCAGTTTTGGTCAACAATTCTTATCCGTGTGTCATTACTAACGCAACTTTGATTGCTTCTCTTCTTTTGGGTATATTGCAAGTATAGTCCCTTAATTTTCTCTATTTTACAAAATTTCTCGTAAGACATTCAATGGTGACATAATATCATGTTTCCATCTATCAACTTTAATTATCGTCAGCCATGCATCTTGATTAGAGAGTTTCTTTCGGTTTCTTCTTGAAAGATGAGCATATTGATTGATTGCTTTGTTTCTTCTTTTTTTTTTCCACATGATAAATGGTCATGTATTAAACATGCTCATTTTATCCATAATTTATATGTTAGAGATAGTAATAGAAAATATGATATAAAAAATTTAAAGGATGAAGAAAAAAAAATGTTTATATGACGAATGTTAACTTGAGAATATAATGATATTAAGAAAACTAGATAAATTTATAGCCAAAATTTGCTATTTAATTCAATTTAAATGAATAAGAAAATAATAATGTTTATATGACGAGAATTTTTGTTGTTAACTAGAAAACATAATGATATTAGAAAAACCAGATAAGTTTATGGCCCAAATTTTCATTCAAGAATTGATTGTCGCTAACTCAAAGTTGTAATGATTCTAATAATTTTAAAAAAATGCTAGTGAAATAATCACTACAATGATCTTTCTGGGTTGTTTGGGTAAAGTAGTATAACTTTGTGAGGGCTGTTTGCAAATAAACTCATTTTATTTTTCCTTTATTTTTTATTTGCTTTTCATACGCAATGATTCTTTCAGGTTTGCCTTGAAACACGGTTACGTTTGGCCAATGGGTCCACTTGCTACCCTCTATCATTTTATTATAACACGGACACACGCCAACAGTGAAGGAAAGTGATTGGAAAAAGAATTTTGAGGCGCTATGGATTCCATCCCAAGTTGACGTTGGAAAGGAATCGACTGCATTACTGGTTTGAGCAACATGGGTTGAACGTTCGATTGTTTATGGCACGTATAATCAGTGATGGAACGAGAATTTTCAAATCGCGGAATTGAAAATAGGACTATTCAACCGTTACAGAGGGTCAAACTAAAAAAATTTCAATTAACGGATACCTTACTAAAAAAACAATTAGCCAAATCCGACCGGTCGGGGAATCGATCGACCACCCTGACTCCCCTTAAATCCGTCACTGCGTATAATGTAGCTGAAAAGAAAAAGATGGTTGATTTTGGTAGAGTCTCTTCCTAATAGTGTTATTTTTGTTCTTATGAGTTTATTTTTGTTGTAAAAATTTAGATGTGTTTAAGTCACTAGAGTTATCGGTTTTAGTAAAATAAAGTTGGCACTGCGATTTGTTTTAGTACTACAATATAGTGGACTGTTTTTTTATGGAAGCAAGTATCCTTTCCGATTAAATTATAAATTATAATTTCGAACTAAATGTAAGTAATGTCTTATAAAATTACTCAAAATACAAATTTGAACTAATTATTTTATTTTATTTTTTGTCTTTTAAGGTTCGAGTTTTATATATTCTGTTGCTTACAATTTTTACTTTTTCGAATGAACAAAGTTGATTTTTAACCAATATTAATTTTGTCTCAAATTACTATCACAATCACCCCGCATGGTTAGTTCAAGATACATGCAACTAAGAACTATCAAAATGTTTCTCTTCTAGTTCTTGAAATTTGTACCATTAAATGTTATAATGGAATTAAATAGTAAAAAATAAATAATAACATCAGAATCAACTAACCCGAAAATCAACCGAATACAAGCTCACAATCAAAAACCAAATGTATATTGCATCAAAAGAGGTTACTTTGCCGACAGAGGCTTATGAGATTTTTTTATTTTTTTTTCGCAAAACCATACACTGCTCGAATCTTTTAAGACGTGAAAATGCAATGATCCAAAGGAGATAATAAATTAAGATATCCAAATGACAGACATCAAATGTGCTATAATACATTGATCCAAATAAAGTGAAATCCTAACATAGAAATCCAAAGTGATTGAAATGGTGATTAATAATGGTTTATTTGTTATATACAAGCATCACAATTAACTCTGAATTTAGTAAGAAATTAGAGGTATTTCTTAGTATTATTGCATTTCACTTAACTAGTTTTGTGTTTTTATTAGGTTAGGACTTGATTGAACAATTACTGAAAATTAGGGCCAAAGGAACAATTTGCTGCTAGATACAATTTTTGCTAAGCTGGTCGAAAAAGTACTCCCAAGACAGAAAACATCTTGATATTAATGAGTGTGTCTCTCATTAGAATTCCAAAGGCATGCTTGTCTTTTTGGCCGAAATTCCAACCAACCATGCTGATCAATGAGGTTGTTGCTGCCACTGCTGGAAGAAGAGAAGAAGACAAGTCAATTTCGGATTCTAGACACAAGGCCATCCAGGATTAAATAATTCACAAGCATGGGGAGGCTCTCTTGATTGAAGAACCGGCTTCAGGGCTCTATAAAAGGGGAGGTGCACTCTCAGAAATGGGCATCTGTGGCTACACCTTTCAGTTGCCAAGAACACACAGAAAAAAAGCTCCAGAAGAAGGCAAGAAGAAAGAAGGAACAACAATAACTCAGTAAGGAAGCCAAGTTGAAGAAACCATCCCAGTCACTGCCTCACTTCCATGAGTGAACTCTTTCACTCTCAGGAGTGGTTCAGAACTGCACAAGCTTTTTTCTCGTCTCTTGACTGTTAGCTTGAACTTCGTTTTATGATGCATACTTCTATGATGCCTTTTGATGTAGTAGATGTAGCATTAATCTGCATGAGTTGTTGTAATGCACTGGTTCTGTTTTTTGTTTTGAAGTTGAAAGTTTTTTCTACATTCATTTACTTGATCACTAAATTGAATGCATGCTAGAACTAAGGGAGATTTGGAAAGATAAACTTGGTTTGGATTGTTTCAACTTCAACTTATGACATAGAGGTAACAGTCTATGGTTTTAACTAAGATAGGAATATACTTAGTTGACATGAGCATTCATTTAAGTCTGAGATCTTAATGACTTTTTAACTGGAATCAATCATTGGAAAATAGATTATTAAGGTTGCAAAGATGACTCTAGGAAAAATGAGAACTAACTTAGAGTTATAAATGAGCTGAATGAACAAGAACTTAACCATTACAGTGTTATTAGACAACTACTGCAGTAGGAAGAGGAGATGAACACCCCTGGCTTTCCATTCCCCTGAGTGACTGTTTCCATTCTCCTGAGTGACACCTTGTCTAAACTGGTAATCTTTTAACAACGAATTTGGTAATTAGCTATCCTCGCGGGATCGACCTATCTTCCATTATCTACAAAAATCACAATCCAAGCTAGTAATATTTTTGGTGAATTCGGCACGCACCAGTGACCAGTTTGAACAACTCAAAATAAAAAGCTCTTGAAAAAAAAACGATGGATGAAACGCTCCAAATTTTGATTCTAGACCTTTGCACTAAAAAAGAATGACGAAAGACGGTAACATCATTAGACAACATGTTAAACCATACATGACGTTGGAAGTTTTCTAGAAAAAATCATTTTATGACAAATCCCTCAAGCGGGTCGGGAATCAGTTGATTGATGCGGGTTTCCAAGCAAAGTCGGTGGATTAAGCAAAGCTCCATGCCAAAATTTCTGTCGAAGTCCACAACAAATCAATGTTGAGACAGGTAGGGTTTTTGCCGACCTATATTTCACTCCCCTAGTTCTAATATTTTATCAAATTTTCATTTTAAAACTTTGGCCCACTACAACAAAAAGGTTGAATAGGAACGCTCTCAAGTGTCCCATTAACCTATTTATAGAGACGCATGCAAAATTGGGACATATGCAAAAGTGTCCTCCAGCTCAATGTCACAATAGATCATTGGGACATATATTTGCATCCCATTAGAACAAAGCGTCCCAAAAAGAATTGCAAATGTTGACCTGTCAACTTAGAATTTAGGACAATTATGAGTGTCCTAACAATGTGCTATATAATTGGACATTTCAGAAATGTCCCCTATACTCATGTATAATGAGACGCTTGAAAGTGTCCAAACAGGTTCTTTCCTGTAAGGACGTTTCAATGTGTCCCAAAAGTATCTCTGAAAAAAAAAATCTAATATAATTCTTGAAATCTTCCACTACATCTCAATTTGTCGTAAAAAATCTCCTGGCCAACAAGAAGATACATAAAATCTCATTGATAAAAAAAAGATACATAAATCTCATAATTTGACATTGCATTCACTGATCTAACCAACCAAAAAAGAAGCTCAATCTTCAAAACCTTTAAGCAGCAGCCAGCCAACCAAATAACAGAACTTTAAGTGATAGAAATGGGCAGCCAGCACCATCAAGAATCATCATTATTACTTGAATTTCAACATATAACAACACTTACTAAATATTCAAAACAACAAAAAAACTGTTACTTTATCAAAAATGGAAACAACTTGGTGCATGACAAAAGCGCAAGAAAATAAAACCTCAAGTTCCACAAGAGCTTACCGTTTACTTAGCTAGACACCAAGTATTAAAGGCAGTTTATCTAAGCCAAAATGAGAGCTGGCAGAAGCCACATTAAACAACCAAAAACAATGACAGTGACAAGAATCAAAGTTAAGGAAAAAAGGAAAACGATTCACCTCGATCAGCCACAATCTTATTGGATAGGTTGGGGGAAGATTAGCCTGGGATTTCAAGCAACAATCAGAGTTAGACATTGAAGAGTTTCACAATCCTTTTTTCATAGAACTGGCCAGCAGTTTTTTGTGGCGTTGCTTTTATAGATTTTCCAGCAAAGTATTGTTTTTGAAAGAACCAAGCAAAAACTTCTTTTTTATTTCCCAACCTGGAGCAATCACGTAAAATAGGCACAAGTTGAAACATCTTATCCCTTAAAATAGGTAACATCTTATGTGCTTCAAAATTTATCATTCTTGGTGCCCCTCACTTCCACTTATTTCATTCTTTAAGGAGCTTGCCAAGCTTAGCTTTTCGAATTTTTTCATTTTAGATAAATCAATAATCAGAATTTTGTAAAAAATACATAC